TGGTGACACTGGGGACATGGAGGGTGTTGGGGACATGGAGGCCACCATGACCTGTCCCAACACAATGTTTCTGGGGTCCTGGTGACGCTGGGGACATGGAGGGTGTTGGGGACAGGGAGGTCACCACGGCCTCACAAGAATTTGGGGACATCAAAGGGGTTGGGGGTGGCTGGGGCTTGGAGGGACATGGGGGACATGGAGACACTGGGTCCTGCACCAGGAGGGACCCACCCCCACCATGGTCCCATTGTCTCTTAGGGACACTGGTGACATCATTTGGGGGTGTCAGAGACTCTGGAGTGGCTTTTGGGGATTCTGAGGCCATGGAGGCCACCAGGCCCTGCTCGTGGCCCCTCCCCACTGTCTCCAGCGCTGTCCCCAGCGCCGTGTCCCTGTCCTTGTCCCCGACAGGGTGACGCGGCCGAGGTGGTGGCCCTGACCAAGGAGGTGGCCGCGGGGGCCGAGCTGGACGAGGAGCTGGTGCGGGAATTGGCCTTCCAGGCCACCGGCGACCTGGCCCCGGTCAACGCCTTCATCGGCGGCCTGGCCGCGCAGGAGGTCATGAAGGTACCGTGTCCCCAAGGCCAGCTGGGGCCGCTGTCCCTGTGTGTCACAGCTGGAGTTGCTCATCTGGCCAGACTCGGTGTCTGTGTCCCCTGGTGGTGTCCCCTGGGGTCACTGCAGTGTCCTTGAGGTGGTCACTGGGGTTCCCCCGATGTCACTGCCTTGTCCTTGTCCTGTCCCTGGGTCCTTGTCCCTGACGTATTTCCAGGTTCCTGTCCCTCATGTCCCTGGGATGTCCCCAGCGTGTCTCCCACTGTCCTGTCCCTGATCCATCCCTTGGGATGTCCCTGACGTGTCCCTCAGGATTTCCATGTCCCTATCCCTGTCCCCAGGCTGTCCCTGTCCCTAGCTGTCCCTGACTGTCCCCATCCCTGACTGTCCCCAGGCTGTTTCTGGCTGTCCCTGACTGTCCCTGACTGTCCCCGGGCTGTCCCTGACTGTCCCCGTCCCTGGCTGTCCCCAGGCTGTCCCTGACTGTCCTCGGGCTGTCCCTGACTGTCCCCAGGCTGTCCCTGACTGTCCTCGGGCTGTCCCTGACTGTCCCCAGGCTGTCCCTAACTGTCCCCGGGTGTCCCCGTCCCTGACTATCCCTGGGCTGTCCCTGACTGTCCCCATCCCTGGCTGTCCCCAGGCTGTCCCTGACTGTCCCCAGGCTGTCCCTGTCCCTGACTGTCCCCAGGCTGTCTCTGACTGTCCCTGGGCTGTCCCTGACTGTTCCTGTTCCTGACTGTCCCCAGGCTGTCCCTGACTGTCCCTGGCTGTCCCTGACTGTCCCCATCCCTGACTGTCCCCATCCCTGACTGTCCCTGTCCCTGACTGTCCCTGTCCCTGACTGTCCCTGGCTGTCCCCATCCCTGACTGTCCCTGTCCCTGACTGTCCCTGTCCCTGACTGTCCCCAGGCTGTCCCTGACTGTCCCTGGCTGTCCCTGGCTGTCCCCATCCCTGACTGTCCCTGTCCCTGACTGTCCCTGTCCCTGACTGTCCCTGGGTGTCCCTGACTGTCCCCAGGCTGTCCCTGACTGTCCCCGGGCTGTCCCTGACTGTCCCCGGGTGTCCCTGACTGTCCCCGGGTGTCCCTGTCCCCCAGGCTGTGTCGGGGAAGTTCACGCCCATCACGCAGTGGCTTTACTTCGACGCGCTCGAGTGTCTGCCCGAGGAGAACCGCGACACGCTGCTGACCGAGGAGCAGTGCCGGCCGGTGAGGGGACACGGGGACACCTGGGGGGCTGGGGGACACCCCTGGGCGGTGTCACTTTGGGGGGTCATCAGTTGGAGGACACTGGTTAGGGGATCCCCACTGGTCACCCCGCTGCGGACAGCAGGTGCCTCACGGGGTGAGGGTGGCCACCAAGCACCCATGGGTGGTCATTCCATGAGGACACAGCCACGGCTGCTGTCACCCCTGAGTCCCCGTGGTGGCTCTGCAGCCCCGGGGGTGTCCCCTGGCAGGTGACACAGCCAGGTGACGCCGGTGTCGCATCGTCCCCAGCGCAACAGCCGCTACGACGGGCAGATCGCGGTGTTCGGGGCCGAGCTGCAGGCCAAGCTGGGCGCCCAGAAGTACTTCGTGGTCAGTGTCCCCATGTCCCCAGTGTCCTCACGCGTGGTCTCCATCATCCATGAGTTTCTTGTGTTGTCACCTGTTCCTCAAACGTCACCAAATTTCCCTTCAGAGATTTACAAGCGTCACCTCTCCCACCCGCACGTCCCCAACCATCCTGGGCCACCCTAAGTGTCCCCATGTGTCCCTTCTGTGTTCCCTGGTGTCCTCACACGTTTCACAATTGTTCCTTCAAGTCATCCGCATGTCCTCGATGTCCCTCGTGTCCCCAACACTGATCGAGTGTCCTCAGAGTGTCCCAAAGTCTCCCTTCACCCCAGTTCCTTGCCCACCACGTGTCCCCAACCCTCCTGGGGCCACCTCGTGCTGGGTCCCCACACATCCCCACGTGTCCCCAGCCCCACAGGCCACCTCGTGCTCTGTCCCCACGTGTCCCCACCCCTGTGAGCCACCTCGTGCTCTGTCCCCACGTGTCCCCACGTGTCCCCGGCAGGTGGGGGCGGGGGCCATTGGCTGCGAGCTGCTCAAGAACTTTGCGATGGTGGGACTGGGCTGCGGCCCCGAGGGCAGCGTCACCGTCACCGACATGGACACCATCGAGAAGTCCAACCTCAACCGCCAGTTCCTCTTCCGGCCGTGGGACGTCACGGTGAGGGCTCGGAGTGTCTGGAGCGTTGGCCAACGTTGGGTTGGCTACGCCAAGCTGGAGTGGGTGAAGTTGGGGGGACAATGAGGGGCAGAGCCAGTGGAGGTTGGGCAGCCACCCTTAAGATGCTGCCATTGAGTTGGCCAACGTCAAGGATTGAGCTTTGTGCTCACCATCAGCGGTTGAGTGTCATGCTCAACGTCGACACTTAAGTTTCTTGACCACTGTCAATGGTTGAGTTTCTTGCCCACCATCAGCGGTTGAATTTCATTCTCAACATCAACAGTTGAGTTTTTTGGCCAATGTCACCATTAGAGTTTCTCGGTCAACGTCAAGTTCTTGGCCAATGTTTCAGGTTGAGTTTTGTGCTCGTTAGCTTCTTGGCCAGCATCAACAATCAAGTTTCATGCTCGATATCAACTGTTGAGTTTCTTTGCCAGTGTCAGTGGTAGAATTTTTGGCTAACGTCAATGATTGAGTTTTGTGCTCAACAGTAACGATTGAGTTTCTTGGCCAACATCAACAATTGAGTTCTGTGCTCAACAGTAATGGTTAACTTTCTTGGCCAACACCAACAATTGAGTTCTGTGCTAAATGTCAGTGGTTGAGTTTCTTGGCCAATGCCAATGACTGGTTTTCCTGGTTCATATCAACGGTTGGCTTTTGCGCTCAGCGTCAACAGTTGAGTTTCTTGGCCAACACCCATGGTTGAGTTTTTGGGATGTGTCGCCGCATTAGGAAAGGGGCGTGGCCTCCAAGGGCGTGTCCCAAGGGGCGGGGCTCACAGCCCAGCTCTTCCCCCACCCACAGAAGCTGAAGTCGGAGCGGGCGGCGGCGGCGGCGCGGGAGATGAACCCGGCGCTGCGCGTCAGCAGCCGCACCGACCGCGTGGGCCCCGACACCGAGCGCGTCTACGACGACGACTTCTTCGAGGGGCTGGACGGCGTGGCCAACGCGCTGGACAACGTGGATGCGCGTGAGCACGGGGGGCTGGGGGCTGCAGGGACCTCGGGGGGCGCAGGAGTGACCCTTGGGGGGCTGTGGGGACCCTTCAGGGGCTGTGGGGACCCTTGGGGGGCTATGGGGACCCTTGGGGGGCTATGGGGACCCTTGGGGGGCTATGGGGACCCTTGGGGGGCTATGGGGACCCTTGGGGGGCTATAGGGACCCTTGCGGGGCTATGGGGACCCTTGGAGGGCTATGGAGATCCTTGGAGGGCTATGGGGATCCTTGGGGGCTATGGAGACCCTTGGGAGCTATAGGGACCCTTGGGGGGACATGGGGACCCTTGGGGGGCCATGGGGACCTTTGGGGGGCTATGGGGACCCTTGGGGGGCTATGGGGACCCTTCAGGGGCTGTGGGGACCCTTGGGGGGCTATAGGGACCCTTGGGGGGCCGTGGGGACCCTTGGGGGGCTATGGAGACCCTTGGGAGCTATGGGGACCCTTGGGGGGCTATGGGGACCCTTGGGGGGCTATGGGGACCCTTGGGAGCTATGGGGACCCTTGGGGGGCTATGGGGACCCTTGGGGGGCCATAGGGACCCTTGGGGGGCTATGGGGACCCTTGGGGGGCTATGGGGACCCTTGGGGGGCCGTGGGGACCCTTGGGGGGCTATGGGG